AATGTTAACCAAGCTGGTTAATTACAGCTTGGCTTCACTTTCACCTTGTGTTCCTATTTTATCTTACCCTCTTTCATACACCTTACCTTACCCCTACCATTTCCTCCCCTTCTGTCCTACCCTTACCCTTCACCCCTACCCCTCCCCTCCCTGTCTTTAATAACTTTTAATTCAGTCCTGATAAGCCTTCACACAGTGGTGCCACATTTGATAACCCTTCACACAGCGTTGCCAGACCTGACAACCCTTCACACAGCGTTGCCACACCTGACAACCCTTCACACAGCGTTGCCACACCTGACAACCCTTCACGCAGCGTTGCCACACCTGACAACCCTTCACGCAGCGTTGCCACACACACCTGACAACCCTTCACACAGCGTTGCCACACCTGACAACCATTCACGCACTATTGTCCACATTCTTCCCACCCGCTCCCAAGACCGGAACAAGCCTAATTTTTTTTAAGTTTCATTGTTTAAAGTTTTTGGTTTAAACTTTTAATTTTACTGAATGACATTTTAGTTGTTTAATAAAACTCGAATGCGTCGTTAACAACACATGTGCACGATTAGTTGCAAACAAATGATAGAAATGTTATATACTAGATATATTTGGAACACTTAAATAGTCCCCTAAAATCAGTTGGGGTGATGTGGTGTTGTCTATTGCATCATTTCACCAAGCTCTCGTCTAATTCCCCCCCCCCTTCACCCCAGCTCTTCCACTCACTCCAAAGAATGTTGAGTAACGATAAAGAAGCTACTTTGACTGCAAGACAAGACACTCGGGCGAGGCATTGTGTCCACCTGTTTATCGGAAACCAATTTAGTTCCGCTACAATACAGAAGTAGCCCGAGGCCCCGGAGCCCCTTCCGGAAGCCCGCGGAGCCACGTTCCCTTCCGTCAGGTCCAAAGTGGGCCCCCTTCCGTCAGGTCCACGGTGGGCCCCCTTCCGTCAGGTCCACGGTGGGCCCCTTCTGTCAGGTCCACGGTGGGCCCCTTTCGTCAGGTCCATGGTGGGCCCCTTTCCGTTAGGGGCCCTCAGGCGCCCATTTCAACATTGAACTTAAAAATCACAATATTTCAGACAACCAAGGCTGACAGAGAGCAAATCAGACACTCAAAGGGCAGAAAGTTCTAGTGTAAAGCGTTATATGTATAGAATCGAGAATTATATGTAGGGACAGCACAAAGCATCCACTAGACAGCGTGACATTGTAAATGCCAGAATTAGGCTGGGGATATAGATATGAATAGCAGGTGTCTGCAGGTCATGAATCTCCCCAATGGTGTGAACTATGTGAACAACAAACCCTAAGAGACACTCTCAAGCACTATATCTGTGAGTGCCCAGTTATCAGCGATCTCAGACCGATTGACATGAGATACTTAGAGCTCTATAACTACCTCATACTACGGATATTTGAAGATATTCTTGTGTTCTACCCAAAGTTTGTTCGTGCAGGCTGGCTGACCAGACTCACATTAGGTAAACTAGTAGCAAGCACTTTATCTATACTTTTATACTATGTAATCCTTCATATAGGATCCGGTTGCAGCACACTGATGTGTACCTAAACTTGTTTGACTGAATAAGGGTCGGTTACATCTCACGTTTAAATGGGTGATTAGTTCAACGGATGTATGTACTGGAAGTGTGACTCAGAAACATAGTTTATAGTGGTCAACCTCTCACTTGACCTCTCTGTCTATGGGTTGATCCCAGTGACCCCATGGTGTCAAGTTGACCCAAATTTAATTTCTTAACCCTTAGCTCAGGAAAGAAGATTCAGAGAAAAAAGGAATCCCAAATTCCCCCTTACATTCTTGTAGACTATATCCAAAGATACTAAGTCATTGTTTTGTAACACAATCCGCCATGGGGTCAACTGCTCTCCCCTGGTTGACTTTGTCATCAACCACCGAATCCCAAACACACTAACTAAACATCACAAGAGTCAACGTTGATACATTCCATTATTTAAGAAGTCATACAGGCCCTCTTATCTAAGAGGTCACAGGCCACCTTATCTAAGAGGTAGCAGGCCACCTCGACACCTAACCCTTTGTTGGGGTAGTGTGTTGGCCACCTCAACACCTCGCTCCCCTTTGACCTTAGTAAGGGAGGGGGTGTTTGTCTTATGGTCGATGGCGATTTGTTGTGCTGTGAGTGTGACCTTTGACAGGTGTGTGACCTCGGGGGAGACCCTATGACGGGTGACCCCATGTAGAGAACACCTCGTTTACAACGACCAAACACAAGGGCAAGCCTTTAAAACCATGTTCTCACCTATATGTGCTCGCCTAATTGTGCTTGCAGGGTTGAGGACTAACAAATGGAATATTTAAAAAGGTATTACATTTATCAAAACAAACGAGAATGGGGAAAAGACGGATAAGTTGCCAACTTACCGAGGCCAATGTAGGAGGGTCGACTTAAATGACTAAAGTTATTCTATGGGATGCAATTCATCTCAATAAACTTACTTGAAATTCAAGTTTAGACTCAGAAAAGACCAGGGTAAATACTGGTTTGGGACTAAATCAACTCCTGTAGATCATTAGATCATTCATTGTCATGAATGAATAGTTTGGGTGTGTGTGTGTATTTACTATGTATATTTACTATTTGTACCTGCAGGATCGAGCTTTTAGCTCTTGGACACCGCCTTTTTAACCATCGGTTGTCTAATGTACTAACTCGTGACCTATTTTTTCTCTATCATATATTCTACACACATTTTTCTTACGCACACCCACATCCCCTCCCCCCATGAAGCAGCCTATAGCAAACATCTAAATCTCAGGTACCTATTTACTGCGAGGTGAACAGAACATCAGGTGACAAGCTGTCTATTGGTGTCTGTCTCGGCCGGGAATCGAACCCGGGTTCTTGTGTAACACCACTATACATATAAACTAATAATAAAATATTAATAATATAACCCTGCAAAATTTATATATAGTCTCTATGGACAAGGCAGATGGTGGCAGCGTAGTTAATCCTGTGTAGCATTCCCTTAGAAGTGTACCTTTGGTTCCAGTATAACCATTAGTAGTACTGGAATATTTGGTGTACAAATTTTGCAGGGTTACATTATTAATGTTTTATTATTAGTTTATATGTATAGTGGTGTTACACTTGGACTGCAACTCCTGAAAGCTGTTGCAGCACCTGTGGTATGATGCATCACAAGACACTTCTCAACTGATTCTGTTGACACTGTAACGTCACTTTACACTGACGTCACGAATGCTACTCTTGTTCATTTATTCACCTCTCCTTCTGTTTGACAACTTTAACTTTGCCATCTTATCCATGTATTACTTTAGTTCCATACTTCCAGGAAAGTCCATGGAGACACCCTAGTCTTTGTTTAATAACAGAGACTTGCTGACGACAGGCGTTGGCCGCCACAACACTTGAGTGTGGTGCCTGTGGACTTACAGGTGACCTTGCTCGGGGTCACACGTGTATACTGTCGCTCTTGTGGTCAAGGTCACAGGTCACGCAACTTTGGACTCGGGAGGGCCTGCAACTTTGGACTCGGGAGGGCCTGCAACTTTGGACTCGGGAGGGCCTGCAACTTTGGACTCGGGAGGGCCTGCAACTTTGGACTCGGGAGGGCCTGCAACTTTGGACTCGGGAGGGCCTGAGAGGTTACCTTGGAATATAAACCTTAAATGAATCGAGATGATTCAAACCCCAAATAATTTTAATAGATTACAGCATATTTTCTATGTAAATATAAATATCCGTCTGGACTAGGATGGAGGCCAGACGCTTAGGGCTAGCTTCACCCAACTTTTCCTAATCATTTATGTTATCTACGTGTCCAACATGGCAGGTCGGGATTGGTGTAAAAGAAAGTACCAGGTGACACTGTTCCCTTAACGAAAACCTCATAATACTATATGACTTCAATGAATTCTTATCATTTGTTTATTTTTGTCACATCAGAAACTGTATGCACTGATCACGTCAACATTTTTTTTAAATCTAAATCATAATATTTATCCTTTAAACCCTGAAAAAAAAACTTTGAGGATATGGCCTTTCCCTTAGACTTTATAGATTGCGTCCGTCCTGCGGGATGGGGAGTTTCAGTATCACTTCTACCTTGAGGATATCCTCATAATGCACCCAGAGTCTGCCAGTATGACTAACCATCCTGTGTGATGGGGATTTTTAGCATCACGTAGCATCCTTTTGGACACACTGTACTTCCCTTCATATAGCCTAGGGCAGCTGCACTAATGCACATGTACCTAATGTGTTTAAAAAAAATATCTCAACAAGGCAGGAAACCCCTGCCCAAATGTGGTTTTATTATTTCCTCTTTTTCTCTCCCTTATATATATATATATATATATATATATATATATATATATATATATATATATATATATATATATATATATGTCGTACCTAGTAGCCAGAACGCACTTCTCTGCCTACTATGCAAGGCCCGATTTGCCAAATAAGCCAAGTTTTCATGAATTATTGTTTTTCGACTACCTAACCTACCTAACCTAACCTAACTTTTTCGGCTACCTAACCTAACCTAACATATAAAGATAGGTTAGGTTAGGTTAGGTAGGGTTGGTTAGGTTCGGTCATATATCTACGTTAATTTTAACTCCAATAATTTTTTTTTTTACCTCATACGTAACGAAATGGGTAGCTTTATCATTTCATATATATATAAATCAGGAAAACTTGGCTTTTTATGCAAATCGGGCCTTGCATAGTAGGCTGAGAAGTGCGTTCTGGCTATAGGTACGACATATATATATATATATATATATATATATATATATATATATATATATATATATGCATGCATTTGTAATTTCCTTAAAAACTCCTTCTTACCCTCAGTTAAGTAGTAATAAGGTGAAGAGAAGTGTTGTAGCGGCAATGAGAGATTCCTGGCATCCATCTCCGGCCACGTTAACTTTCAAGACAACTTTTAACATAGTAGTGTATTTCTTACCTTACTCTCCATGAGCTACGTCCTCCGGGCACCCTGAAGCACACTTATCACCGCCAATCACTTCACAGGACTGCAGTTGGACTGGACCTTAGTGCACAAAAGTCAATTGTGGTCGTCAGAAGGCGCCGCCGTGTTGACAGCTCCGAGGCCTCCACGCGACTGTTTACTACAAATTGCTTATTTGGCTGTATTATCGTTTATACTTGTTCCTTGATGTTGTAGATTTATTTTGCTTGTTTCTTCATCTGTTAATTTATATGGATTGATATCAATCTTTGGACAAAACATAAAATCTTTTTAGCTATTTCGTTTTTTGTGGCGAGAAAACTTTGGATTAAATTGATTGGTGAAAAATGTTCTCCCCCCAAACGTAAACAAACATTCACCGACAAGCGACACCAGTCTACACCAGTCTTGTGTACCAGCATGTAAAGAACTCCATTTATTATTATTATTATCATTATTGCAAAGTGAAGGAGCCAAAATTCATTTTTAAACATAGAGCTTCTCCAGGATTTCCCGCGTCGTGACGTCACGTGACGTACACACAAGTTGTGACGTCATTAACATAGTTGCCAGGTAACACACACTTAATTTATATATATATAATGTTGTAACATATTTATATATACTTTCTTTCAGTCACATTATTATTAAAACTAAACCGTAAAAAGCAACATATGCTGGAAAAATATAACGAGAAGAAAGATGATAGACTACTTCGAGCTATTTATTTGTCAAGCATCGTACATTGATATCGTAACGATGCGCTTTTTTTTTTTTAACCCGCTGAGCCCCGAGAAATTTCCAGGACCATCACATATAACCTTGAAGTAGTTCCTGTAACTCGTTTTACATTCACTTGCAACGGGAATATTAGTTATGCAAAATTAAAGAATTTGCAGATATTTATCTATGCTAACATATATCTAGTAATATATTTAAAAAAAACAGCTCGAGCCTATTCCTTTTTCCAGTATAATCAAATCATTGTGTACATATATTATTAACAAAATATTTGTAAAGTGCTGAGCCTTTACCCTCAAAGGCACTAATGTTATATTGAGATGCATTTCCTTGATATCTGAATTCAACAGGTTTTGACGCATTCAAAGTAATTTTATTTATATTTTAACATTGTACACACACTGTATTGTAAGATAGATAGATAGATAGATAGATAGATAGATAGATAGATAGATAGATAGATAGATAGATAGATAGATAGATAGATAGATAGATAGATAGATCTTGCCTAATAGGCGTGCTCTTTATTTTCTCCCACTAGCTTCGCGAGAATTTTATAAATATCTGGAAATTATGTATGAATGATTATTGATATTATTCAATAGCGGTCGAGGTTGGTAAGTTAGTATTGGTTTAAAATATATAAAGTTAGCCTGACTGAGCAGACTGAGACCTCTCCCTTCCTTCAACCTAGTATAGAGTCATAGTATGAACCTATAGCCTATGAAGCGCTTAGGTCTAATGAGGAGGAAATTAAGCTCTCAGTTGAGTGGTACAAGCGCAGCTTATTTATAACGAACTATATAAATAAACATTTAACAGCAAACTTGAAACAATTACAGCTTTGTTGAAACACTCGATCCGTTGCAGACGAGAAACGATTTCGTTTCGGTCCGTCCTGGATCATTATCTAGTCGTGTGTGATGATTGATAATGCAGACGAGGAGTCACAATATCGAGGCTGAAATATGTTGACCAGACCACATACTAGAAAGTGAAGGGACGACGATGTTTCGGTCCATCCTGGACCAATCTCAAGTCGATTATGAATGGTCCAGGACGGACCGAAAAGTCGTTTCTTTATCTTCTGGTGCGGGATTTGGTCATTAGTATTCCATCCGTTAAAAAATGTACGCTAATGTTCCGCCATATATTACGTATTGTTATAAGAAAATGTTTTATGTCTGTATTTTACACATTTTCAAGGAGTTAGATGATTATATATATATATAAGTAATTAGGAAGTAATTCAAGATGTTGACATGAAGCAGGTAGGCAGCTCTGTCTGGGTTTTCCCGCCCCTGCTGAGATCAGCTGATGGCAGCGGCGACGGCTTCCTCTACTGAACTGACTCTTCTAGTGCTTGACTTCCCTGTCCTCATTGGCTGCCTCTCATAGGCTGCCTCCCCTGACCTGCCTCTCATAGGCTGCCTCCCCTGGACCTGCCTCTCATAGGCTGCCTCCCCTGACTATGCTGACTAGGCTCCCATATTGCCTGACTTTCTCGACTATCCCGACATAACTATACCAGCAACACAAGAGGTGCATGAAATATACGCACCCACATCCGCCAGCAACATAAGTGTTGCACGCAATATACTCCCCAACAACCGCCAGCAACACAAGGGGTGCACGCAATATACTCCCCAACAACCGCCAGCAACACAAGGGGTGCACGCAATACGGTACTCTGATGGTGTCCTTGTAACCAAGGGCACGCCGCCTCCCTCTCTCCCTCAAGTTCTTATATGAGAATTCGTAAAATTATTTTCCTTTACAAGTTCCTAAATGTCAAAACTCAATGTCCTCAATTTAAAATTTTTATCTTATCTTGATGTTCAACTAATGTAAACATGGGCATGATGTTCACTATTCTTAGGAGCCTAGCCAACTGAAATATTTTAAGTTTATCTTCTTGCCAATATATTTTTTCGATAGCTTTATTTGGAACCCAAAACTCTTTATTTTGTTGGAAAAAAAGTTTGAAAAAAGACATAAGTAAATGGTTGCTAATAACTGCGTCACTCATCCTTTGCGTCAGTGACAGTATCGGACAGTGTCACTCATCCTGTGAGTAAACTCACCATCAGGCGAACAGATTGTCAAACATCTGTCAACTCTTACCATCTTTTAACAAGAGGGAGGATGAGTAGGCTGGCAGGGGAAGGAGGGATGGATGGTGGGGGTAGAGGAGTAGGCTAGAGGGAAGTTTTTTCAAGAGAGAGAAGAGGAGGGTAGAATTGTGGGGTACCACCCTGTCAACACACCATCCATTCCTTCCCCCACACAACACCAACCACTATACCACAACACATGTAAGGTACACACACACAAGTGCTGGGTGATAAAAATAGGTTGTGTCTTGTTACCGTGGGAGGGCCAGGGGCCACATCCCAGGGTGGTCCGCGGTCAGCCGGGTCAAGAGGGGCCAAGTTTATTTTCGAGCAAGGTGTTATTCTCATGTTGACTGCAAGGAAATAACAGCGTCACAGGATTTAATTGCGAGCCATAAATCTATACCCTGGGGCTGTGTGGGAGAAAAGGAGTGTGGAGAACTAGCATGAGGGTGGTGTGTCAGGAGGCTGAGAAGTGAGGTGTTGTAGTAACACTGGCAGACATGGAGAATCACCTCAGAACCCCAAGGCACTGCAACACAAGGCTTGCCCTGCTTATCAAAGTATTATTTGTTGTTAATGAAACAACAGCCTCATACCGTGTGGGGGCCCGACTCTTGAGAGGGGCCACCACACGGAGAGCCAACCTCACCCAAATATATGGTTTACAATTAGTTCCAGAGGTACAGTGGATTTGTTTTTCTGCGGGAAGGGGCTGGCAGAGACAAACCGCTCTCACTGGCACTGCCATGAACTTGGTCACATTCTGAGGCCTTCCTGTTTCCCACCAGAGGACCAGTAACAGCCATAAACCAATAAATGTGCTGACTGCGGAGCACATGTGCTGGCTGTTTCTAGGTGCTGAAGAAGACCAAAATTTTGCCCCGAGGGGCGAGTTTATTAGGCAGCGCCACTCATCCTGTGAGTGGCCAAGGAGACCATATTAAATATGTCATACCCAAGACTCTTCTACAAATTTGAGGTATTATCAGGCAACATCACTGTGACAAGGTAACTGAGGAAAGAGGATAGATGAACAAATCAGTGAATCTGTACGCTGGTAAAATATGATTGCTGCTGGCAATCCCAGTCATTACGGACGAAGAGGCGGTGGCCGCGGGAGAGAATCAGTAATAGCAAGAATCCGTCATGGATATGAATATCAATGGAGAGTCGGAATGGAAACAACAGCTGAGCAGCGGAGTTGCAGAATCTGTGGTGAGAGTGATGGACACCGCCTTGACCACTACCTGAGAGAATGTGAACATCTAAGAGTCATTAGAAATATGTGTAGAATAATAAACCATACATTGTTTGAGTTAGGAAAATGCTATTTGTCAAATATAGATACTGTTCTTAAAAGATTTCCCCCATTTTGCGCCCGCAAATAACATAAGATTTTAAGGGTTGGCAAAAGTTAATCTTCTTGTTTGATAAGCTTTTCACTTAAGACAGTTAAGCAAGTCCCAGCTATGTTTGGGTACAAGTAACAGGATGAACAACCCAGCGGGTTTTCTTCCTATTGGGAAGTGTTGTACATGCTGCTATGGCGGTATGTCCACTCACAAGATGAGTGACGCTGCCACTCATCCTTGGCGCTGACTTGTAAAAAAGTCATACAACCGGATTCCTACTGAAGTCACAGGAAGTCTGGAGGGCCTTTACTGAAGCCAATCCAAGTTTTTACGTATGACCCAATAAACTATATATAATGGAGTATTTTCCCTTGGAAATTGATGTAAATATGATCTTTATATTGTATATTATTAAATAAAGAAAAAAACAAGCACTTGGGTGGAAAGGCAAAGGTGGTCCTACACCTTACGTCCCAACTTCAGAAACACAGAAATTACATTAACGTGATATATAACAATGAGAGTCGAACCTCGACCGAACGGGAATCGAACCTCGACCCTGAAAGATATAAGACGAATGTTGTACCGAGAAGTCGAAGTGGTTATGCGACGACTTGGTCTCCCTAAGGTTCTGTCTCCAGAACTAAATAAATTGACAGTTATAAGATAATGTATCACTATTTCTGTGCAAGAGCCGCTGTGGCAGATTTTCTCGTTTTATGTCAATGGAATATGCGCACAGTTGTTGTATAGCTTGGAGGCGGGTTATACAACATACTATGTTAGAAAGAGTAAATGAACCTGCTACCAAATATAATACCACAAAGAGTACATAAGCTACAGAGAAAGGCTAGTTAAATTTATTATTTTTGTTACAAGAGAAGCAAAGGTCATGAACTTCAGCAAGCGACAACAAACGCAGGAGAAATGTGA